AAACATACGTATTTATTGAGGGATGTTTTACAGAAGTAGGAGGGGTGAGGGGAAGTAAAAGATTTACTCTAAGAAACAGGGTATTCAAAACATGGGAACCATAAGTATAAAACATGATGTCTGTTCTGTTTGATTAAATATAACCAGTCACAATTCTTGGTGAGGAAGTCCATCTGTCCGGTGTATTTTCTTCTAAGATCTTGATTACCAGATAGGGCCTCTTTGGATGAGAGGGTTTTGTAGCTCAGGAGACAACACAGGATGTCTTATTAGCAGTTTTTCATAGTTAACAGCACACAGATGAAAAACTCTTTGTAGTTTAAAGACTATCTGCTGCCTGCCTCAATTTAGATAAGAACTCCCAGCTAAGATAGGTAATCTTCCTCTGGCGTCTTCAGGTTTGTTCATCCTGTCCTTGCCAGCCAGGTGTCCTTCCTCTATTAACCCGTGGATCCCTGTATTTTGTTTGCTGAATTCCTGTCTGTTAATCAGTGAATTCTTATGCTCTATCTTTGAATCCCTCTCATAGCTGTGGATGCGCTAACTTGGCCTAACATAAGCTAACTTGGCCTGCAGCTTTAACAAGGGGTATTTATGTAAAATTAGCCTTAAACTAACTTAGTCTACTAACTTATCATATGCTAATTCGGCTTAACACAGGCAGGTGGGGGTGAGTCTCAAATTTCCTGATCACCCTGTCACCTTAGGGAACCGCATTCCTTCAGGATCACTAATTGACTTTATTGAAAAGGTACAGTAAGGCTGTGGGTGTTATTTTACACTTGCGGGGTACCATAATAACAGTAAAGCTCATGGCAGAGAAGTTCAGTACAAACCAGTACAGCAAAACACAGTTAGAATGGAGCCCGTAATTGTCAGCCTTGCTTACAGTTCTTCTCAGCCCAGTCCTTGCTTAGGCATGTTCAACCTGTGTTGGCTGCATGGCACCGCCACACTCTAGTCATGTAGGGGAAATTGTGGTAGTAAGTACTGCAAATATGAAAGTGGGGTATTAGGCAGGGTGTCCTTAATATGGAATCATCAAAACAATGTGAATAAACATTTTACAGACTGCTTTACCAGAAGATTCCATTTTCAGTGCCACCCAAAACATATTCCCATATATCACTGTCTCATTCCTATGCCATCGTTTCTTATTAATGTAATTAGATGCTTTTTATTTCATATAAGTTTTATTTAATAAGGTTATATTTTATTAGAAAAGATTTGTACTTTACCGTTTTTTGAAAATGATCTGCATTTCAAATAACTTTTCTATTAATTTTCTTTGAAAATCACTTATTAAATGGAATTTGGGATGACATATATCTAGTAAATCTGTGTGTGTGTGTATAAGTTTATATAAAATTTTTAAAAACTTCTTAGGGACAGCGAGGTGGCATGGTTGTTAAGGCACTGGATCCCACATGGCTAATTGTACCATTTAAAATCTCTGGACTCATTGGTTTGAAAAACACATCAGGCATGTGTATGTGCATGCCCAGTATCCTGAGAAGAGAATGGATTGGAGATTATGGTGTGACTATACCCCATGGGAGGTGATTTCTCACTTTCCTTCTCACTGTCTCTCTCCAGCAAGCACAGATATCCTAAGAGCAAAACAAAACAGAAAAACACAAAAACTTTTTGAGATAGTGAGTAAGTGACAGGGACCTTTGACAGGGTCTTGCCATACTACAATACTCCCCCCAAGCCTTCCAGCCAGGGTAAGGGGAATGCACAGGCCTCTCTAGTGTGTTCATCAGCCCAGAATTCAAACCCCAGCCTCCCATATGGCTCCAGTACCATGTAACAGTGCCCTGTGACCTGTGTCACCATGGATGGGCTAAAATCCTTACCATTTTTTTGATAAATTTTCAACTCTTTAGCAATTTCTGATATTTTAAAATGTATCTTAAAATCTATGTACATGGGGCCAGCAGTTAGCGTAATGGCTATGTTGCTGGACTCCCACGTAGTTGACTGCGGTTCGAGTCCCAGAAAACTCACACCGGGCGCGTGTGCGTGAGTGCCCAAGATCCCGAGAGGAGAATGGAGTAGAAGGGATTGCGGCATGGCCATCCCCCCAGGGGGTGATTTCTCGCTTTCTGTCTCTCTGTCTCTCTGTCTTTCTGGCTGGCGAGTGCACGTGCCCTATAGTAAAAAACTCTCAAAAAAAAATCTATGTACATAAAATTTCCTTTGATGATCAGTTTTGTCATTTTGACAAATAACACTGTCCATCACAATCATTACATTCTTGCCTTCCTCCTCTGAAAAAAAAAAAAATTTTTTTAGTGAGAGATTTTTGCTATAGGGTAC